AAAAAAAAAAAAAATAACCGACTAGGTGGCTCAGTCGGTTAAGTGGCTGCCTTCGGCTCAGGTGATGATCTTGGGGTCCTGGGATCAAGCCCCGCATCGAGCTGCCTGCTCAGTGTGGAGTCTGCTTCTCCCTCTGCTCCCCTCCCCCACTTGTGCTCTGTGCTTGCTCTCTCTCTCTCAAATAAATAAAAATCTTTAAAAAAAATAAATAATAAATAATATAAAATAAAATCTAAAACTGTAAAACATTACCATGTGCACACACACACATTACGTTTCTGACCTCTCCTGTTCTTCTGTTGCTCACTCTGCTCCAGCCACACTAGCCTCTTTGCTGTTCCTGGGATATGCCAGGCCCATTCCCCTTAGCACCCTTGCTCTAGATCTTCCCTCTGTCTGGTCCTCTCCTCTCCCAGAGATCCACTCCCTCACCCCCCTCAAATCTTTGCTCACATCTCAGCTATTTAATACAAGCAACCTATCCCTCAATCCCTGGAACTCCCAATCCCCCCCCAACCTGCATTACTTTCTCTTTTTCCCAGAGCACTTACATCTTCTAACCTTCTAACATGCTATCCAACTTACCTATTCATTACATTTATATAAGGGCAAAGATCTCTGTTTAGGGCACTAATGTATCCTAGGCGCCTGGCAGATAGAAGGCATGCCTACTAACATGCTAGAAATACTGGGAGAAATTAGAAACAAGTCAGAGATGACTCCACCCTAGAGAAGCCTGCCTTCAACCAAGGGAGAAAGATGTTACCCACTCACACAATTATAAGGCAGGTACCATTATATCTCTATAGGATGAATGACTCTCATACATGCAGATGCTAACACTTGAATGTGACTTCACATAAGTTTTATTCTGGTGCCATTTGAGATATACTTTGTTCTGGGTTTATTTCTTCATTCACTAATGTTAGAAAATACGTGTCTAATTTCAGCTCCAGTTAACACCCTGAGTATGTCTTTGAGTCTATTCAAAACATTCACATGCATATAATTTGGGTCCATTTTGGTGCATCATGTTTCTGTTGCTGCCATAACAAATTGCCACAAACTTAGCAGCTTAAAACAACACAGATTTATTATCTCACAGTTCTGTGAACCAGAAGTCCAGTTGGGCTTGGCTAGTTCCTCTTCTCTGGGTCTTTCAAGGTCAAAATGAAGGAGTTGGCCACCCTGGCTTCTAATCAAGAGCCGCTGAAGGGGGACACCTGGGTGGCTCAGGCAGTTAAGCGTCTGTCTTCGGCTCAGGTCATGATCCCAGGGTCCTGGGATCGAGTCCCGCATTGGGCTCCTTGCTCAGCGGGGAGCCTGCTTCTCCCTCTGCCTCTGCCTGCCCCTGCCCCATGCTTGTGTGCACACTCTTTCTCTCTCTCTCTCTCTCTGATAAATAAATAAAATCTTTAAAAAAAAAAAAAGAGGCTCTGAAGGAAAATCTTCTTCCAAGCTTATTCAGGTTCTTGGTGGAACCTAGTTCCTTGTGGTTCTAGGGTTAAATCTCACTTCCTTACTGGCTGTCAGCCAGGAGCCTCTCTCAGCCCCTGACAGCGGTCTGTGTCCCACATCACATTGCCCCTTCTGTCTTTGAACCAGCAAGAGTCCTTCTCATGCTTTGAATCTCTCTGATCCCTTCTGCTACATTTCTCTTGCTTCTAGCTGCCTAGGGGACCCTGTGATTAGATTGGGCCCACTCAGTAATCCAGAGTAATTTATCTTAATTATATCTGCAAAGTCCCTTTCGTCGTATAAGTAATACATTCACAGATTCTAGAAATTAAGGTATGGACTGCTTTCAAAGGCCATTTTACCAACATATTTGGTTTTCCACAAACTAGTTTATTCCAATTCAAATCTCATGGAAGGACATTGTCCTTTATATGAAATGTCTATTAAGTACCCATTTTTCTCTCAATACTTTTTCAGAACGTGATGTCCAATCAACTATATAGTCAGTCCTAGTTCCCTTAGAATATGTACTTATTCTTGAATAACTGCCTGACTAACTTAATTACATTTCCTCAGCCTTTCAAGATGCCTACAACTTCTTTAACAAGGATAAAACTGGCTGTATTGATTTACATGGAATGATGTGCACTTTAGCTAAGTTGGGAATGAATCTAACCAAGCATGATGTCTATAATGAATTAAGATGTGCTGATATTGATCGTGAGTACTTTGACTTGTAATTATTTTTCTCATAAAAGGTTTTTATAAATAGGGGCGCCTGGGTGGCTCAGTTGGTTAAGCGACTGCCTTCGGCTCAGGTCATGATCCTGGGGTCCTGGGATCGAGCCCCACATAGGGCTCCCTGCTCAGCGGGGAGCCTGCTTCTCCCTCTCCCACTCCCCCTGCTTGTGTTCCCCCTCACGCTGTCTCTCTCTCTCTCTGTCAATTAAATAAATAAATAAAATCTTTAAAAAAAAAAGGTTTTTATAAATATATATTTTTCTTTCAGTGATTATATAAACAAATATACCTCATTATCAAAAGTACATATATGTGTTTCTCTTTAAGGATATCAGTAAAGTATGTGTACAAGTTACAAAATCAAATTAATGCAAAAAAATCAAATTAATGCTACAAAATGGACTATTCTTTGAAAAATCCTGTATGGAAACTAAAAGTGACTATCGCATTTCAATATTAAATTCAGATTACCTATCATGATATACATTTTGGAGGGTGCCTTGAAATAACAGATACAAAGGCATTGACAATTTCAAAAATGACACATTACCAAGAAAATCCAAGCCCTTTGTTTCCATTTGAATCATATTAGTACAAATCTTCCTTTGATCCTTAGAGCCCACCTATATTGAATTTTAAATGCCACAGCATTTTTGTTGATATTTTTAAAGCTTTTAGATAATATTTCCTTTGAATATACTGACCTAGTGAAGATAGCCCAAGCTGATATGTTGTATGGAATATATAGTTAGCAAATTACCTCCTCTTACCTCTCCCCACCCAACTGCAGTGCCCCATTCAATTAGCATAAGCTCCACGTATGAATCAGCGTCACCAGTTAATTAAGGTGTCACTTGTTTCCACTAACTGCCCAGTTTTCCTGTTCTTGCATCAAAACACACACATATGTCTTTAATAACACTATCCTATAAGTTAGAGGAGACTGGGTACAATTTGGGGGTGTTAGAATAATAGAAATATCAGAGGTGGGTATGGAGTGGGAAAGCGGGAATGGATTCCTTGCAAAAATGGCAAGTCTCTCAGAAAGGAGTGAGTGGGTAGGACTGCAGGGACTGGGAGCCCCTGGTTTGATGTTTATACCCCACCATTGCTCCTAGCGGCTGTGGGTGATTCGCGTAACGATGCCAAAACCACTTCAAGAAGACCAGTGCTTCCCTGAGCGCATCTCCAGCCTTAACATGCTGTCTGATTTTTTTAAAGATTTTATTTATTTATTTGACAGAGACACAGCAAGAGAGGGAACACAAGCAGGGGGAGTGGGAGAGGGAGAAGCAGGCTCCCTGCTGAGCAGGGAGCCCGATTGCAGGGCTTGATCCCAGGACCTTGGGATCATGACCTGAGCCAAAGGCAGACGTTTAACAACTGAGCCACCCAGGCGCCCCCCCATGCTGTCTGATTTTAAGTATTGAATAGTCCAAGGTGTTTTCATTTTATATTTAGTATGTAATCTGATGACTAAAATGCATCTTATATCCTTGTTCTGAGCCTTAGATTTCTGTTGCAGGAGATGGAAAGGTGAATTTCTCAGACTTTATAAAGGTGCTAACAGATAAGAACCGCTTCCTTAAGGCTGTGGGTGAGTAGAGAGATTGCTGAACATGGCTGTTGGGTGGCTGTGATTCGCTGCATAGTAACCATTATTCATTTAGGCCTCCGAGCAGGAGACAAGTGAGGAAGGTGTACTCTGGCATGAGATTTACTGTCGTACTACTTCTCCGAAACAATATTTGCTAAGCAAATTGATACAGTTTTAGAATTTTAACTTAAATGCATCAAGTCCTTCTGCAGGAGACACTGCTTTTTGGTCTCCAATGAGGAACACTTGGAATAGTGTAGAAAAATTCTGTCACCTCCTATAATGTTCTTTACCAAGTGCATGTGCTACTTTGGAAGGTACTCCCTTTACAAATGAAAAATTCTTTAGAAAAAGACAAATGCTCTCTTTCTTGCAAACTGGGGGGTATCAATAATTCACTATTCCCAAAAGATTTCTTCCTCACCCTGATGAAGTCTGCCCTTGGTGGGAGGATGGGAGAATTGGCTGGAGGCTAAAGAGCATGTTCTCACACAAGGTTGTAAGTGATGTGGAGGTGTCCTTGACATACTGTTATTTAAGTCCTCTGATGGTTTATGAGTTTTACAGTCTGCCTGGGAAAAACTAATCACAATTTGTGCCATGTTTTCTGGGATAAATACATACCAAATTCCAAATACTGTGTATAGTTTTGAAAATACATTCATTCATAGGCAGTGAACTGTCCTTAGAAGAGACAGAAGCTGCTGCTTCAAGTACTACTGTAGTAACGAGGGTTTACCTGCAAGCCTGAGATACATTGATCAGCAATTCCTTTACCCAGAAGAACAAGACAATAGTCCTTAATACATAAATCATGTTTATGTTAAATGTATTAACTTACAAGTCAATATTTACTTAGAAGTCATGGAACTAAAAGCATTTTTTTAATGATTATTGTGTCTGTTCAATAATCAAAATGACCTTTCTACCAAACAGAACAGATTTTTAATGTTTTTCTATAATTCTCTAGTACCTGGCTCAGTATTAATATTGTAAATAGACTAAAAAGACTGTCGGCTTATTACTTCCTTTGATAGATGTTTTTTCAGAAGGCATTTTGAATTTTTTTTCCCCTTCATAGTTCCAGAAAAGGAGAAATGTTTAGATTCAGCTGGCAACCCAGGGATCCTGTTGTTTGAAATCCTATCAAAGCTTGTAGAGACTTCAGCTTTACCCAGAAAGGCTATAATGGAAATAGTAAGGTAAGTGGCAAAGAAGGGTAAAATTGGCCTTCTTAGAAGCACTTATGAGGCTATTTACATCCTACTCCACAGGGTCTGCTCCAAAACAAAGGAGAAGGAGTCTGTGGCAAAGCTCACATGCCACATGGGACCTTATTCCTTCATCCCAACTGTGCTAACTCTGAAATTGCAAGACTGACCTCAGACCATCTCAGGGCCCACTGAGGGCCTAAGATAGCCAAGAAGGTTCAGACTCTTCTACCCTAAGCTAGAGAATCCCAGAAGAGTAAAACTTTTCCAGGGATGACTTCGGGTGGGCTTGGAAATCTAGTTTGGAAGACACTCCCATTCATGCTGGAACTACCAGGGGCTCTTTTGACTCTGGGATGATGTAGAGCAATTTCAGACCTCCCAAAGTAGCCTTTGGACTGGAGCTGAGCCAGAACTGAATTTGAGAATAGAGGATGAAGAAACATCCTCACACTCAAATGTGTTTTATTCCAGCAAATACCACCAAAGATAAATTTCCTCAAACTATTTATATCATTGTATTATAGATATTGAATATTGCTGTTATCAATCCTTTTAGCTCATATTCTTTCAAAGCATTCTGCTTTCCCTTTCAGACTTAAAAATACAGAATGTTTTCAGAATCCTCAATGGATAATCATCTCTCTATGCTATCCTATATTTGTCAGATGTGGAACCAGAGGGTACACAAAATTCTACTCTTCATTCCATTTCAAAGGCATTTATTAAATGCCTGTTGTTGGTACACAAATTTGACACATTGCTTAATTTCTCAGCCTTGGTTTCCTCACCTATAAAATGGGAACAACAATAATAATACCTACCTTAAAATAATAATGATAATAATACTTACTTTATAGGGCAGTTGTGGGGATAATATGTGATAATGCAGGTGAAGTAGTTCAATAAATACTCCTGGAGCTAGGGGTGCCTGGGTGGTTCAGTCGGCTAAGTGTCTGCCTTCGGCTCAGGTCATGATCTTCAGGGTCCTGGGATCAAGCCCCGCATCGGGCTCCCTGCTCAGCTGGGAGCCTGCTTCTTCCTCTCCCACTCCCCCTGCTGGTGCTCTCTCTCTCTCTCAAATAAATAAAATCTTAAAAAAAAAAAAAAATTCCTGGAGCTCAATATATATTATTATTATGTGGAAGTAGCTGGAATAGTCATAAAACATATATATTATCTGTTTTAATCCTCACTTTCTTTTTTTTTAAGATTTTATTTATTTATTCATCAGAGAGAGAGAGGCAGAGGGAGAAGCAGGCTCCCAAGGAGCAGGGAGCCCGATGCGGAACTCGATCCCAGCACCCTGGGATCATGACCTGAGCCAAAGGCAGACGCTTAACCATCTGAGCCACCCAGGCGCCCTTAATCCTCACTTTCTTAATGGGTACTATTATCCTCATTTTACAGATGAAAAACCTGAAGTACAGGTATTAAGTAACTCACCCAAGGGGCAGTGGTGCCTAGATTTTAGCACAAACAGTCTGATTCTAGAACCCATGCTCCCATCTACCCTCCTAGACTGCCTCTCAGGAAATCTTAGCTGATGGTGTTTTTATTATGATGATGATTATGGTTGTTGCTTTTCATACACCTGGTTTCTAAGGAGATCAAGTGTTTAATACGTAGCATTTGCATTTAAGGAACTTAAAATATAAATTGAGAGAAAAAGCCATAAGTATGTAGATTACTAAATATACAAAAGTGAAATGACACAAAATATATCACATAAATAACTGTCAAATGAGTGGCAAAGGTCATTCATTTAGTTTCTGAGAAAGCTGGTCTCAAGCTGGATAATGGTAGAATTTGATAGGTATTCCTGTAGTTGACTATAGCATTTATTGAGCATTACGTGCAGAGTTCTGAGTGTGCACTTTACATGCATTAGCTTTTTCCTGGATCACTGTCTCCTAACTGGTCTCCCTGCTTGCATCTTTTGACTCCCACCCGCATGACTTGCTGGCTCCACAGTCTATTCTCAACACTCCCTCTGCCTAGCTGATGCCTTGACGCCTACAGCACCAAATGGTCCTTTTAGCACAGTGTCGGATCATGTCACTCCTCTGCTCAGAACCTTCAAAACCCTCCCATTTCCCTCAGAGTGCAAGCCTCACACTTCACATGACTTACTGGCCCTCCAGGTGATCTGCACCCACCTCTGACCTCTTTTTCTTTGCCCCCTGTTACTCCGCTCAGTCCGTGCTGGCCTCCTTGAGGCCAGGCTGCTCCGTCACTCCCCACATCCAGCTAATCACCAAGTCCCACCCGTTTGACCTCCTAAACCTGCTTCATAGCCTCGCACTTCTCCCTAGCCCCATGCTGGGGAGGGGGCGGGGAAAGAAGCAAAGGACTGAGGACAGAACCACAAGGAATTCCCATACTTGTGGAATGGAAAGAAACAGACGGGTCAGCAAAGGAAACATTAGTCATCAAGAAGGGAACCAGGATGGTGTGAAGTCGGAAGCCAGGGCCACAGACAAATCTAAACCAGGACAGACTTCCCCCAGTATTAAATGCTAAAGTGAGGCCAAGTGAAGTCAGGACTGAAGAGGTAGAGTTAGATTTCGTGGTTAAGATGGTAGTTAAGAGGGGCGCCTGGGTGGCTCAGTCGTTAAGCGTCTGCCTTCAGCTCAGGTCATGATCCCAGGATCCTGGGATCGAGTCCCACATCGGGCTCCCTGCTCTGTGGGAGGCCTGCTTCTCCCTCTCCCACTCCCGCTGCTTGTGTTCCTGCTCTCGCTGTGTGTCTCTCTGTCAAATAAATAAATAAAATCTTTAAAAAAAAAAAAAAAAGATGGTAGTTAAGAAATCATAAGGGGGGTGCCTGGGTGGCTCAGTCATTAAGCATTTGCCTTCAGCTCAGGTCATGATCCTGGAGTCTCGGGATCGAGTCCCACGTCTGGCTCCCTGGAGCGGGGAGCCTGCTTCTCCCTCTAACCCTACCCCCTGCTCATGCAGTTTCTCTCTCTCTCTCTCTTCTCTCACTTTCTCAAATGAATAAATAAGATCTTTATAAAAAGAATTAATTTAATTAATGTATTCAGCATATAACTTGCCACTAGACTTTTTTTTCTTTTTGTCCAATAAGACACCTTTTCAGCAGGACTATATAGCACTTTCTATTCTTTTTTTGGATTACTTTTTTTTTTTTTTTTTAGCTATTTCCGAAGAAAATTCCAAGATACCACATCAGGAATGTCATGGAGTCCCTACACTCTGGGTTATGGGAAAAGGAGATTTAAACCAGACATATGCACACCTCCAAGCTCAAGCACAGCTGCCTTTGCTAATGCTGCCCGAATTGCAATAATGCAAGAAAAGGATTTACTTAAATTTCTTGAAGAGCTCAAGAGTAAGAACCATTTGTCCTCTCCCCCTTGTTGTAAAGGATTTATTTGTATACTACTGGTCAGAAATAAATACTAGAGGCCAAATGCTAAAGAAGCAGGACCACAGCCTATTCTGAGTGACTGGTCTCTGTCACACAGATATCATTTGAAAGCAAATCCACATCTTCACCTGAATCCTCCTGATACAGGTGAAGCCTGGAGTCTGGATGAAGCCTAGACTCTATGTATGGGGAGGGAGGTGAGGAGAGTGAAAAGGAGGGTCATGGCCATTGAGAAGACTAGAAAAAAGCAAAATAGGCACCACGTGTATGTCTTTTATGCGAATTTCTTCTTACACTGTTCATAATACCATTTTTGGTATTTTGTTTTTATCTTTTTGTTTTGTTTTGTTTTTATCTTTTAAGGGTGCAGTCCTCCTTCAGATAGCCCATATTCAAAAATACCCATCTTTCCATTGTTTCCTAATATGGATGGGGTGGTGATGGGAAAGCCATTCAAAGACATACAGAAATTAGAAATGCTAAGGAGAAGGGAGCCTCTGGATTTCTTTGAGAACTACTTTTTCCATAAAAGAGACTGGAAGACACAGGTAAGATTTGGTTATGTCACATTAGTTAATTTAAATACTTAGGTTTTCAAGTTCTAACTTAACAGAACTAATACTTTTTTAATGACAAACATGTTCAGTCATTATATTTCAAACCAGATTCCATAGCCATGTTCCTAAATTTAAGCCCAAGTATAAATATTTCATTTAATTTCAACAAATAGTTAAACTTACTGAAAAATACAACCTTAGGCTTGGGGTTAGAGGTGGAGAGTATAAGAATAACAATAAAAAGGCCCTCAGATCCTACCTACACCTGCTCTCCCTTCAACCTAGTGACCAGAAGCTGCATTTTGGGCTCCCTCAACTAGCTCTAGATCTTGGTTGGGCCAGATACGATGGGATGAGAGGACCAGGTCCACAACTCAGTGGCGCAATCTGTGATGGAGTGGCCATCCTGCTCTTGGACTAGACCCCTAATTATAGTCCTGGCTACACCTTCTGGCCTACTTCAAGCTCTGAATGTTAAAGTCTCAGGCAGCCATGCCTTGGTTTCTGGGTATTCTCTGAGGAAGCTCTGGCCTCACTCCTGGCTATGACAGGCCTCCCAGCCTGCAGAACATCAAGATTTCACTGGAGGCGCACCTGGGTGGCTCAGTCGGCTAAGCATCTGCCTTCAGCTCAGGTCATGATCCCAGGATCCTGGGATGGAGCCCCACATCAGGCTCCCTGCTCAGTGGGGAGCCTGCTTCTCCCTCTCCCACTCCCTCTGCTTGTCCTCTCTCTCTCTCTCTTGAATAAATAAATAAAATCTTTAAAAAAAAAAAAAAGATTTGATTGGAGACCAGTGAGGCATCTCTGGGTTCCAGAAATCCATGTGGTGTTCACATCACTATGAAACCTCTTAGAAGTCCCTCCAGGCATAGAGTTTAAGAGTCCCCAAGGCTGGGGGCAGGGGTTAATGGGGAGCTGCTAACCAACGGGCATACAGTCTCAATTATGCAAGATGAGTAATTCTAGAGATATGCTGTGCAACACTGTGCCTATAGTTAACAAAACGTACTGTACACCAAAAATGTGTTAAGAGCATAGATCTCATGTTAAGTGTTCTTACCACAATAAAATAAAAATTGTTTTTTAAAGATTTTATTTATTTATTTGAGAGAGAGAGAGCGCATGAGAGTGGGGTGAGGGGCACAGGAAGAAGCAGACTCCCCAGTGAGCAGGGAGACCAACGCGGGACTCGATCCTGGGACTCCAGGATCATGACGGAGCAGAAAGCAGATGCTTAACCGACTGAGCCACCCAAATAAAAAATTTTTAAAGATTCTAGGGGAAAACAGGTGCTGGCAAGGATGTAGAGAAAGGGGAACCCTCTTGTACTGTTGGTGGGAATGCAAACTGGTGTAGCCACTCTGGAAAACAGTATGGAGGTTCCTTAAAAAGTTAAAAATAGAACTACCCTATGACCCAGCAGTTGCACTATGAGGTATTTACCCAAACAACACAAAAATACTAATTCGAAGAAATACATGCACCCCAATGCTTATAGCAGCATTATCTACAATAGCCAAATTATGGAAACAGCCCAAATGTCCAGTGATACATGAATGGATAAAGAAGAGGTGGTGTGTGTGTGTGTGTATAGATATATACATCTTTTTTTATGACTGAGCAATATTCCATTGTGCATAAAGAATGAAATCTTGCCATTTGCAACAATGTGGATGGAACTAGAGAATATTATGCTAAAGGAAATAAGTCAGTCAGAGAAAGACAAATACTGTATGATTTCACTTACATGTGGAATTTAAGAAACAAAACAAACAAGCAAAGGGGAAACAAAGAGAAAGAGAAGCAAGAAACAGACTCTTAACTGTAGAGAACAGATAGTACCCAGAAGGGGGGGTGGGTAGGGGGTTGGGTTAAATAGGTGATGGGGATTAAGGATGCACTTGTTGTGATGAGCACCAGGTGTTGTATGCAAGTGTTAAATCACTATATGAAACACCTGAAACTATTATTACACTGTATGTTAACTAACCAGAATTTGAATAAAAACTTAAAAAAAAATAGACTCTGGAGGAGTATCACAGTCACAAATGACCTTAACTTCAGACTTTGAATTTATCTCTCCAGATGAAGTCATACCCACAGGCAGATATCACCAACAAGTTGGAAATAAGGGGAACTTTATTCCCCTTTAAATTTATTTTCCAACACTAAGCCCTCCACCTGTGATCATTATCTGTTTACTGTCAGTCTCTCCAACCAGAATATAAGGTTCATGTAGGCAAGGACTTTATTTCTTTCACTAAAGGATCCCTATCACCTAGAACAGAAACTGGTCTATAGGAGACTCAGTATCTTTTGGATGAAAGGAAATTATAATACAAAGCCTTTATTTATTGAGAGCAAGATTGTCTCTAATCATATCAGCAGAGATAGTGTCCACAGCTTCCTAAATGGTCCACTTCTATCTTTGTCCTCTGCAGTCTATTCTCAACACAGCAACCAAAGTGGCTCTGCTAAAATCAGCTCAAAACTTGCCAATGGTTTTTCACATCACTCAAAGTAAAAGCCAAAATCCTTACTGTAACACTCAGGGTCCTACACAATCTAAACCTGAGGCTTCCAATAATGGTAGCCACAGTGGCTATTTAAATTTACATTTAAAGGTCACCTGGATGGCCCAGGAGGTTAAGCATCCAACTGTTGATTTTGGCTCAGGTCATGATCTCAGAGTCCTGGGATGGATCCCCGCATATGGCTCCCCACTCAGCAAGGAGTCTGCTCCCTTTCCATCTGCCCCTCTCCACCCTACACGTGAACTCTCTCTCTCTCAAATAAATAAATAAATCATTTTTTTAAGATTTTATTTATTTAGGGGTGCCTGGGTGGCTCAGTTGTTAAGCATCTGCCTTCAGCTCAGGTCATGATCCCAGGGTCCTGGATCGAGCCCTACATAGGGCTCCCTGCTCTGCAGGGAGCCTGCTTCTCCCTCTCCCACTCTCCCTGCTTGTGTTCCCTCTCCCGCTGTGTCTCTCTCTGTCAAATAAATTTTTAAAAAAAAATTTTTTTTAAATAATT